TGATGTTCAATGTTTTATGTTATGAGTGCTTAGTGTATATTTAGTTGATGTTTTTCTTAGTTCATATCTTAGATGTTATTACCGTTTTTCTTATACATTTTATTGATGGATGTAACTGGGACCTTGTGTACATAATTTCGCTCCACCACATGTACCACATGAGGTGCGAATGACAATAAAGAAACTCTGACTCTAACTCTGACATAACAGACAGATCATCACCAGTGTACATTAGACAATGCCAGGACAAAGACTAACACAGAGACACAGACTATATACAGGAAACACCAACTAGACCAAGTGAAGGCACCTGTGAGTAATCACAGATGCCAGAGAAAGAGACAGAGGATGCATGACATGAACATGACACATGATGGGGCTAGATATTAAAGAAACACAAACCTTATAAAGACAAACAGAGGATCAGGGGAACACAGACATGCACGACACATGGGATAAAACCACAACTCGCACGAAGACTTGACTGTTATTTTACACCGGATGCCCCTCCTGATGCAACCACAGATCACCGTGCTACCACAGCCCTCTGTGTGGAGCAGAGAGCTGCTATCTACAGCACTTGGGGAGCAGATGGCGGGGATTAAGGGCCTTGCTCAAGGGCCCAGGATGGGGCAAATGAAGGTGGAGGCAGGTGTGTGTGCTTCACCTTTCCCACCCACATTTTGATGTTGTAGGTCTGGGGAGTTGAACCGGTGACCTTCTGATCAAAGGTTCCATCTCTAACCTCTGCACCACCACTCCCACTTTAAGTACCAAAGTGCCAAACATTAATCTCATGTGTGATTATAGCTCATCTCATCTCTGTATTATAGCTGTAAAACTGAGTGAGTTACATGTTTGTGTTGGCTAATGTTGAAAAGCTGCGGTAGCCATCTTATTAAGTTGGGCTGACTCCAGTTGCAGATGTACGGTAAAGCCAACCATTACTTTATGAAAGTATAATTAAATAAAAAGAGTGATAAAAAGAGATAATCTACAAAACATTCGGCAGTTCAGCTTCTCAGAATCTTTAGCTGGAAGACTTTTGTTTTGCCCTTGATGTGGAAGCTCTTCAAGGTTTTGGACTTCGCTTTTTAAACGTTTGTTTTGTTTTAATGAACATGATAAAATTTGTCGCTGTGAGGTCAAAGTTCACATTTGAACTTGTGTTGTGTTCTTTCCAAACCCATTAAGTGTTACCAAATGATTAGGACTGATTGATGCATCAGTTTATATTCAAATCTGGAATAATAAATGTTTACAAATATCCTAGGTCCAAAAGGTTTACCTGCTTTTAAACAACAACTCGTCTGAATAAAGCCTTAGTAAACTGAAGAGTGAAGTATAATGACCCTGAAGTGAAAGTGGGAGTTTATCAAATAAACTGCTTTACTGGATGTGAGACAAAAAGAGCACAACTTAAATACCAGAACAAATGATACAGTTCATGATCCATGTCCAGTTTGGATGTTTGTTGGTAAATTAAAGGTTCATAATTATCACCAGGACTAGATGTTTGGGACTTTTTTATTTTGTTCTTTAAAAACTGCTTTTATCTTGATCAAAATGAGCCGTGTTTGGAGCTCGGTGCCATTTAAGCAACTTGCCTGCAGAACCTGACACTCCCACAATTCAGAATTAGGCAGAAACGAGGTGAGGCACTGCAACCTTAGATTGAAATTGCTGTATTTAACTTTCAAGGGGTTCACATCGCCAAAGCAACACTAAGGTGGATTTGGGAAAAAAAAAAGATTTCAGGTAAATTACAGAGATACAAGGTTAAAACACGGCTCTCTTGCTGAGTTCTGGACAACTCCCCGTGTTTGGGAACAGCAAGAAAATAACAGATTTGATTTGGCGGTTTTCACTTATCGTGGGTCTTCAGGGTATGGATCCCCCGCAACAAATGAGGGACTACTTAATTTGCAAAAGTAATTACCAAAAAAACTGAAAAGAGAAAGCTGATTAAAACCAGCTTTAGTTGTTGTTTGTATAACAAACAATAAAACCTGTTTTGTGTTAGTTTTGGTCGAAGCTTGAAAGAGCCACTGCAGAGGGACCAAAGAGCCACATGTGACCCCTGAGCCACCACCAAGCGATCAGATGAAGGTGCAGAGAGTGTGACCATGTGGTTGAATAAATGTCTCCTCCAAAACTGGATGAAGGCACGAGGGGATTAACGGCGCAGCATAGAGATTCAATATCTTCAGCATTCAGTGGGCACTCAAGATCATCGGATCAGCTGCTTTTGGCTGTTCCAAAAACAAAACTGAAGCTCAGAGGTGATCGGGCATTTTCAGTCATGGGCCCCAACTCTGGAACAACCTGCCCCCCAACATTAAACAGGCCACCTCCCTTCCTGTGTTCAAATCGCTGCTAAAAACACATCTGTCTTCTCTGGCATATCACACAGTGTGAGCAGATTTAGTATTTTTGTTCTGTGTTTTTAGGTTTTCATTTAATGATTTACTTAATTTTTCAGTACTAGCATTAGTGTTATCCTGATGCATGCTCAGCATGCATTAGCATTAGTGTTATTTTTCCATTAATTTTACTCTCATTGTTGTTATTGTTAAGCACTTTTGTAGCAGCTCCTGTTTTAAATGTGCTCTATAAATATAATTGACTTGACTATTACAAAAATGTTTCACTTTGCAAAACATCTGGAGTGTTCTGCTAATTGGGTGTGTGGTTTTTGCTAACTGCATGAAGTTTTGGGGAAAAACAAACTGTTATTAAAATTGTGCCTCTGCACTCATAAAAACCTGTGTTATAAATCAATGTGCAGCGGTAGCCTCATGCCCGGGAACAACAACAACAGTGATCAATGAGCTAAGGAGCCCATAGCTGTGAAAAGACATAAAACCAGTCATTTCTTCAGTTCTCCTCTAAGCCTCATCCGGGCCCTGCCTGCTAACGTCACCCTGGGACTGAGGCGCTTGCTGCAGGCGGGTTTTGCACAGGTAGAGATCAAAACCAACCTGTAATGTGTAGCCTGTCCCCGCTGACCTCGATCTTGAGGAAGAGCCGTCCCCGGCGCTCCGTGTGGTCCGTCCCGCACAGGCTCGGCACGTTGACCACACACTGCTTGTGCACGTTCATGTCGCAGGCTAGAAAAGAGACAGAATGCAGAGACGAACAGACGGTTGAGTTAATCTGAACAGTGTTAGTGTCATTCCACTTCTGTGTGTGGAATCTTTGAAACATCAAAGTTCATGCTCAGTAATCCAGGTAATAAATCCAATAAAGTTCAGTCAGGTCCTCTGGACAGTTTCTTTTTGTGGAAACGTTTCATCTTTCATCCAAAGGACTTCATCAGTCCGAGGAGCCACAACAAACTCAGTCCTATAAGTATCACACTCACATAGTGGACCAACAAGTTTGATGGTGATAAGATGATTTCTCGAGTCCGCCCTCTCCCTCGTCTATGTTTTGAACCACTTTGGCCATGGCTGCCTCAGACGAGTCGACGGGGGAGAGGGCGGACTCCAGGAACCATCAAACTGCTTGGCCCACTATGTGAGTGTGATACTTATGGGACTGAGTTTGTTGTGGCTCCTCGGACTGATGAAGTCCTTTGGATGAAAGATGAAATGTTTCAACAAAAAGAAACCGTCCTGAGGAACTGACTTAACTTTGTTGAATCTTTGAAATAAAATCCATTTTAGTGCAACAGAACTAAAGGTGAGTCAGAAATACAAAGATAAGTAAAGATAAATGTGTTATTTTCACATTCCTCTGAATTTAATAAGGTTCATGCAGTTTGCAAGACATCATAAATAATTCTCTGCCTCTGAGGACAAAGAACAAAAATAGTTTGAGGAGTATGACGTTATGGCATATGAACAAGAACATAATACAACAGGAAACTATACTGAGCTGCTGTAGTTAAGAAAATAAAAGCTGAAACCTGGAAAAAAAACACTTTTGAGTCTATTTAGAGGTTTAACACAGATTCTAGATAATAATAATAAACACAACAAAGATAATAGTTGATTGCAGGCCAGCGATGCGTTCCATATTTAACCTGGCCTTTGATCACAGCATGGGGAGATGAACTATTATGTTTCAGAATTATTTAAACATCAAGTTATCCCATTACTTGATGAAAACGGTTTTTTTCAAAAGGTCAAATTTGGCCTCCTTTAAAATAGAAAATTAAACAACAAGCTGTAAATTGACTCAAATAAATCACAATTACCAACAAAACAAACACAAAAAAATTGGTGTGCAATACTGAAAAGCAGGTGGCTTCTGTGCTAAAATCATCAATCTCAATTTAGGAGCAAAAGCCCAAACTGTAAGACTGAACATCATTTAAATTTACCCATCTGACATTTTTGGGAAGGAAAGATGTGATGTAGCTCACAAAACTGCAGAGCTCAGTAAATTGGTCACGTTTTTTTTTTCTACAGGTTTTTGCATGCTGACTCATCATTATTCTCGTCCAGTCACCAGAAACTCTAAACAGACGAGGAAGATGCAACATTTTATAGGAAGAGATGGAAAGATACACAGATATAAAGTGAAAGGGCAGTCAGCTCCAACTAAACCAGGAAGAGTTACGCAAATATGACCCAAACCTTTAAAATAAACCTGAAAATGTTCAATTTCTCACGTCGGCGATTAAATTGACCTGTATATAATCTGCAAGTCATCTTTTGGCTCACTCTTTGTGATGCTTCATCACCGAGTCTGAGTACAGGATTGAAAACCCAAAAAACTTTGTGTGTCGTAATAAAAGTTGAAGCGATATCAAGTCTTCAAATGACCCTCTGGCCAGAGATCAGATGAAACTCAGGGAACTAGAGAAATTATATTTTCTGTAAAAATGCAGCGCAGATGCTGAGAGCTGAATGACTTTACTGAAATATTCTGAGGAAGTTAAAGCTAAATGAAGTTAAAGCTAAATGAAGCAGAACGCTAACGGAAAGCTAAAAGTAGTTCAGAAGACAGAAGAGACAAAAAGTGTGCTGAAGCAGTTCATTAAAAAACGTTACAGTATTTGAAGATTTTTCCATTTATATGAGTGAATATTTGTAAATAAAGTTAATTTTAAAGTTATAAAAATCACAAGTCATGGCACACGGCTCCAGAATGAGCTGAACATTCTGATATATGATGACTAAAATAGCACAAGGTAGGAACAATGGAAAAACAAGAACACAATATGTTAAATCATCTTTATCAAAATATTTCTAATTTCTATTTCGTGCTGCTGTTTGACGTATTGTTTTTCTACCATTAGTGCTTAGCGTATTTTTAGTTGATGTTTTCCTTAGTTCATATCTTAGATCTTATTACTGGTTTTCTTTTACATTTTATACATTTGTTCAAAGTAACTGGGACCCTGTGTACACAGTTTCGTTCCACCTCATGTACCACATGTGATGCGAATGACAATAAAGGACCTTGAATCCTTGAATCCTAAGTCCAGGACGGGGGACACTGGCAGACATTCAAAAATACCAAATCTTGTTTGGGAGTTTTACAACTTGTGCTGCGTTCTGACATGTGATAGACCTTCACAAGCATAAATATCTTCCTCCAACTGTTTTTCAATCCTATCCGTCCTGCTGTCTCCCCCTCCTGTCCTCCTGGTAGTTGTCAGGCTGGGAGGAGACGAGAGCTGAGAACACAGCTCGTAATCGCTGCGGTCTCCCTACATCAATTTGTTCTGGTGCGCTCTCATTACCATCTGCAATTAGAGGACCACCGAAGCCCCACAGATGGGTGTACAGATTGATGGATGGAGAGAGCGTGGAAACAGAAGGGAAGAGGTGACACAAGAGGCACAACAAGGGACATATGAGACAAAAGTAACGTGATAAAAGAGTGGGCTGTAAAGGCGTGTTTGGGGTCTTTCACTTAAAGAATTGAAAGAGAAGTGTGGGTGGAAGGAACGGCAGCGCAGACTCTGAGGACAGGGCAGTGATCTGAGCTGCAGCTGTGACGTAGCATCTTACAGTGGCAGGGTATTCCCATCTGTCCTCATTAGGACACAGCTTTTAAATTAGCCCAGCACAGGTGCATCCACACACACACACAGATGGAGATACTCACTGTCACATTTCATTCCTTGATGGATGAGCCCGTACAGCAGAGAGCCACAGTGGTCACAGAAGGTCGGGCTGCCGTATGTGTGAATCTTGAACTTGTGTTTGCTCCTGGGGTCCTGCAAGGATGGACAGACAGGAAGGCAAAATAAACTGTAGGTTAAGATGTTATAAAACTGATGTGGAAGTTGAAATAAAAATCTCAAGGCCTTTTTTATTAAAATCAGTGCAGAGGTCTAACTCACAGACAAAAGATGTCATCAACAAAAATAACTCAAAAACAACCCAGATTTTTTCATTTTATGATTGTGATGTTATTCCCATGATGGAGCAAATAAGCTTCAATCTGGCAGGAATAATCTGTGGTCGAAGGGATTCAGATGTGTCGCACCCAAATGATTCACTCTCCATTTTAGGACAAAAAAAACAAAACTGAAATTTCTGGAACAGATCATTCTTTCCACCCATTTTTTTTTTTTTTTTCAAAATGAAGAACAAAGACATTTTAGTTTAAATGTGAAATGATCAATTAATTTAAACAATTCAGACATTGAAATATTTACAGCAGCGCCACACAAGATTATATTTTTATTGCCTCCTCTTTAAATCCCAGACATGCTGTTCTGGTTAAACAAAGTTCCCACAAATTATAAATAGAGGGCAATACAATTATCGTTTGGTATTTATGTTAATGCTAAAATAAAATTGGTAATAAACTGACCATAGAAATCTTGGAAGCATGCAAGACAGAGCTTCTTTACAAACAAAATGCTTAGACAAGGAGTAAATGTACTTCAGTTTTAAAAGGAAAATAAATGTCAAACCAGCAGAAATTCACTGAACTACATAGAAAAGCATTTGAGAACTGATGCTGACTGTACAAATGTGATGACATGACTAGAAAAGTACCTCTTTATCTTTGACGTTTGCACATAAAGTTGCAGAATTAGCAGTGGAATCTGGTAATCAACTCGTTTGTTCTGAACTGATTCATACGTTTGCCAGACTTCATGGTGAGAGCTGAAGTTAGCTAATTTCTGCAGTCACCACAAAACAAGCACAACGCTAATTAAGGCCCTACAAATGAGGGTGGATAAACCCCCCCATCGGTGTCTCCTCCATCAAGCTGAACTGTCAGAATGGCTGCATGTGTAATTACACAGGACGCTGGCTGAGTAAGAAGACCCGCGCCGATGAAAAATGTTGGGTTTCTCCCACGAGCAAACTAAATTAGGCAAACAACAAGATGTCAGAGAGCAGGGCAGAGAGACAGTAATATGGAAATGATTTTTTTATTTAAAAGAAGGAGGACTTGAGGGGTTTAAAAGTCTAATTAACATCTCCATCTTTATTTGTTTCCTCCTGCATTTCGTTTTGGGTATTCAAATAAAAGGAACGCTGAGGAGAAAAGTCCTTGTGGTGTCATTGCCCCATTCCTGATGGAGTTTACTCTCAAGAGCCTTTTGTAATTATTATTTGTTTATAAGAACCTTGAGCACCTGTAACCTATAAGAGAACCTATAAGAACCTTATCCTAAAGGAGACTCGTTGAGAAAACAGTAACAGGACTCACACAGCAGCTGTTTTGTGATTCTTCGTTTTTATTAGATTTTTATTTCCCTCTCTCCCTTCTAGTGTCCAAACAGTGATCCATGTTTAACTGTAATGTTGCGCTTTAAGTTTCCTCCTGTTAACTTGCAGTGATTGTCACTTTGCGTGTATTCTCTTTGGGTTTCTTTTTCTCCTGGGCAGAGTTAACCATGGGCAGCCATCATGAGCTTCTGGCTGCAGGAAAATGTGAGCTGTGAAGACATAATCTGCTCAGAGGCGCGGCTTTAAGCACAAATGAGGGTTTGCATGCTTCCGTGTGTTAGTTTGGACTTATTATATCATCATAGAGCTTGTTTTATTTAGTGAAGCTTTTTTAAACGCAGAAGACTGATAAAAAAAAAATAGACTTAATAGGAACAAAGGTACGAGTCGTTGTAACGCTCATCTGTTATTTTGTCTAACAACGTAAAAACATTCAATTACAAAATACTTTAATTTTAAAACAATATTTTAAATAACAGCACAATCAGTTAGCTTTTCTTTAGACCATCCCCAGTTCTGTTATCCTGGCATACAGCGGTGAACCATGACTATAAGAGCTACGCCTTCTGTAAGGATTTTCTAACGTCCTATTAAATGCTAACGCTGGAGACACCATGGGTCACCATCTGACTGCATTACTTTACTTTCAGTTTTGCAACTACGTAACTCTAACAGAAAAGGCTTTCTCCTCTTTTCATTTAAAGTACAACATCTGACTTCTCATATCATTTTTTTTTTACGATCACTAACAACAATCTGAACATAAATGGTGACCCAATACCAGACAAAAACACAAACAGGGGCAACTCCTCTGAACACATAACCTGAAAATGTCCACCCATTTCTGTCCCAAGATGACATGCACCTTCCTGAAGTCTTAGGTCTCATGTTTTGGTCCCACCCACTCTATATCAGCATTATGATTGGTTTATTTTCCTGTCAGTTATGAAACAAACTCATCCTGGAGCTAAGTGTGCCTTCTCTAACCACCTTCTGAGAAGTCCTGATGATTTAACCCATATGAAATCTACATTTCAAGTTTTAATTCAGTATTTTTTTTATATACAATAAATATTTTCAATCTAGTTTTTACTCATTTTTGCAAATATCTCCTATTTTCTGTAAACTACTGTGCAGTTGAGCAATAATAATAACAATACTATTAATAATAATAATAATAATAATAATAATAATAATAATAATAATAATAATTATTATTATTATTATTAATAATAATGAAAATACAGTTATCCAATCAGGTTAGTTTAAATTTTCTGTCTCCAGGCAGAAACATGTTTGAAGGAGCTCTCATTGGTCAGGACTTCACTGTGGTCAGAACCCTGAGGGTTCCCCACTGTTGGCATACCAAAGTAAAAAAAAAAAAAAAAAATTTAAGCATTTTTTTCCCCTTCAAAATGTTGGGCTTGTTTCTCAGTTTATTTTAATGTATAACATAAATATGTATACTTAATAAAACAAACAAAAACAGGTTTCCACAACTTTTACTAATTTTTAAAGACCTGAAATACATTTTGATGTCTATGTTTTGCCTTACATGTACAGACATTCAAGTTCAAGTAGGTTTTATTACCATTTGCATCACATGTGGTGCATGAGGTGGAACGGAATTGTGTACACAGGATCCCAGTTACATCCTACAATAGCAAAAACATAAAATGTAAAAAAACAGGAATAAGATCTAAGCTATAAACAAGAAATACGCTAAACACTAATAGTGCAAAACAATACGCCGAACAACAGCAGCACGAACATGAGTCTGTGTGAGTAGATGAGTACGAATGAACACAGCAGCATGAAATAAATCAGCAGCATGAGATCAGCAGCACTTTTCGCCAATCAAAGTGGCATTACAGTGATTTATTTTATTTATTATTTGACCTCATGGACCAAAAAAAATTGGACCTCTTTGTATATTCTTGCCTTGTAGCTCGATTCGTAAAATAAAACAACAACAAAAACAAAGGACACCGTCAGTTTTGGACAATCAGATTAGAATAAAAGTGAATTTATTGCCTAAATTCATTCAACTTTTATTTAGACAGGTTAATCCCATTGAGTCCTCGAGGCTCAATGGGATTTTAACCTGTCTAATTAAAGGTTGAATGAATTTGTACAAGTACATCAGATTTCTTGAATGGATTTCTACAGGTCTAGCAGTTAAAATCTAAAGTAAAAAAGTGATAAAATGTTAAATATTAATATCAATAAAAACTACAGTTAAACAAATAAAAGTATAAACTATAAAAGCCCAGGTACACTGAATATCAAACACATAAATAGTTAAGGTGCATAGCTTTCTTTTCAAATTAACAATATGCGCTCCAATAATTATGTTTTTAATGATACATCATAAAAAACTGTTTTCGTGGCCCCTAAAAATAAATAATGAACTTGTTCATAAGCATAGCATGTGATTAAACACATCTACACAGCATAATATGACTGAATGAATCAATTTGAATCCTAATTTCCCCAACAATTTTATCACCATTTACTGTATATCCCAGAATACATCACAGCAAATTTAAACAGAATGCAAATGTTATTGATTTTACATTTAAAAAAAATGACATAGTTGATTGATTATAAGCTTTTTGACTGAATAAGTTTTCTTTCTGATCTGCTCACTTATGGGATTTGTTTTCACCAGCTGGATTATCTTTTCAGAGGGTTCAGTGGTGCGAGCGTGAGGCTGCAGGCCTGCCGAATCCAATCTTTTACATATGGATAAAGGAAGAAATATAATATAAATATACATAATAATAAAGTATAACTGTAACCAAAGTCTAACACAGACTGGCTGCAAAGGGAAAATACTTTATTTTTTCCATAAAGTACCATTTTATAAAGGCTGAATTAATGTTTTAATACTGTTTGTCAATAAAAAAGGTTTTCAAGGAGAGAAACAGTCGACTGATTTGCTCCATCTGCAGCTGTCTTACTTCCATTTGTGTCATTTTTAATTTATTATCTGTTAATTAAGTTTGTAAGCTGAAACATTAATGGCAAAACACTAAACTCCTAATTGCAGCAGCATTACGATGCCCTTTTTATTTCCAGTGTTTGCAGTGGTGTATTCACTCCTGTAGCTTATTAAAAATGACTGAACTCTGAGAATTGATTACAAAAGTTTAAAACTGTTTCTTCTGTGGCCCTAAGGCTGTTTGGCATCTTTGATAAAAGTGTTCATTCACCCAACAGTGGGCGAAAAGCTCTAAGGCTGGAACAAACTCATACTTTGAATGAGAGCTAATTTCGTAGGTCATCCTCGTTTCAGCCGTTCAAAAATTAAAGATCATGCTGAGCAGGAAAAACTTGAGTAGACAAACCTCTGACACCAAAAGAGAAAGCTGCTGATTTGAAGCCAAGATGGCTGCAATGAGGCGAGGTGATGAGCCCTCGGAGCGTAACGAGGAGCACATCACGCAGAAGAAGAAGTCGGTGACAATGACTCAAACAGCCGTGCTAATTATAGTCAGGCAGTGAGAGAGACATCACC